GTGTGTGTGTGTGTGTGTGTGTGTGTGTGTGTGTGTGTGTGTGTGTGAGTGTGTGTGAACGTGGGTGCGTGCGTGCGTGCGTGCGTGTGAGTGAGTGTGTGTGTGAGTGTGCGTGTTTGTGTGTATGTGTGTGTGTGTGTGTGCATGCGCATGCGCGTGTGTGTGCATGCGTGTGTGACCGTGTTGGCGAGCTTTTTGAAAGTAGTGTGTGCATCTGCATACTGATACACGCGTCTGGTGTGGTGGGTGTGCAAGCGCAAGAGCATGTGCGTGTGCGTGTGCATGTACGTGTGCACGCCGGAGTCGGATCATAGGCATTGTGGGGCTGGCACGGCAAGACTCCGCCATGTTTGTGTTTCACTTTTGGTTGGGACTGACACGGCAAGACTGGTGGTTTTCTTGCACCACCACTTCCCGTTGGGGGATTACCAGTGCAGCCGCACAATTGCCCCTTCTCACCTGCAGCACGACGCCGCCCCCTACGAGGAGCTCTTGAGGGACTACTGCCGCCTGCGCCCGCTGGTGGGTGCTCCCTGGTTCAACAGCCTGAGGGCCTGAAAGTACGCCGACTGGCCAGATTGCTGGTGTCTGTGTGCTCTTCGTTTTCTCAAGGTGTCTCTACGTGCGTCCGCAACCTCCTTCATGCCAACTGCAACTGGCCTTTCAACGTAATTGCTGCGTCTTCTCTCCCCTCACGCCCATGTGCTGCCTCAGGGCTGCATTGGTGACGGCATGATCGACTCTGCAGTCCTGGGAGGGCCGTACGTGTTCGCAGCCGCCACGCTGGCCAGCTCCAAGCCGGCTGCCCCGTTCGTGTTCAGGTGAGGGGCGCAGCTGGTGGCACCGGCGGCTGCCCCGTGGGAGACCTGACGTGCCTCCCTGGCGGCCCGCTATGGGTCGCAGCTGTTGGCCACTGTACGCGAGTGACATATGCACAGTCCCTATATGGGAAGCTGAGTGCTGAACCCCAGGAACAAAGTGTCCTCGCATGTTGGTCTCATCAACCTCGTGAGGGATCCCACAGACACCCAGCCCAACAGCAGGAAGACAATTCCAGCAGTACCCACTACATCACCCCCCCCCCCAACCTGTAACCGCGCCCCCGACGTCCATCCTGTAACACCCCTCCCCAACTACGAAACGCCTACGCAACCCCCACACATCGCTGCGTGGCCGCCCTCAACCCTGGTGCTCTCCAGGAACTACGAGCTGCCGGCCGAGGCGGGCCCCCTGGCCAAGAGCATCCGCGCATGCTCTGGCAGCAGCCGGCACGACGTGTGGCAGGCCGTCCGCGCGTCCTCCGCCGCACCCTACTGTGAGCCCGGCGTCTGGCCTCCAGAGGCATTTCGCTTTCGTGCATAACCTGGGCGGCGGAGAGCCTCATGGAGGGATGGTTTCTGACAGGCGGGATGAGTCATCCCGCCTCTCACCAGCACTCTTCTCTTTGCAACCTCCCCAACTGCACCACGTGCTCAATGCACAACAGTCCCTCATCCGTCCAGCTTCCCCCCACATCCACCACCTCCCTGCCCCTCCTGCCCCACCTGCCCCGGCGCCTCTCCGCATCTCGCCCCTTCACCTTGCCCCCCCCGGCCCCCGTCCCCATCAGACCTGGATGACTTCAGCTGCCCCGACGGCCTGCGCTTCCAAGACGGCGCCACCACTGTAAACAACCCGGCCGTCGTGGCACTGCAGCAGGTGGGGTGCAGCGCGCAGCAACTCACACACATGAGCCCGCCCGCCATGCCATGCTTGACGCTGCGACTGGCAAAGCGGTGGCCAGCAGTGGCCCTGGCTCCGGTCTTCTGCCGACCGCGGCCCCTGATCAGCTGCAGGCAATCGGTTGTTGAGCAGCGCCCGCCCTCGTGCGCTGCTGCTGCGTGTGAACGCACAAGCAATCATCCGCTCACCGTTGCGCGAACCGCGCCGCTGCCCTGGGCCCACACAACCCTCAAGGCGCGGCTGCTGCACCCGGACGTGCCCGTGGACGTGCTCGTGTCGCTGGGCTGCGGCCAGCCCCTCTCCGAGCCGCGCGGCCGCGGCGTCCACAGCATGATGGACACAGGTGGGTGTGCGCCCGCATCCACTCCCCCCGCACCCTCGCGTGTGCGCAAGCCTGGTGCTGTAAAGCCATCCCATCTCCCCAGACGCGCCACCCACAAACTATAGCCCAACCTGCTAGCCCGGCACTTCGACCTGCCGCGTACACGGCGCCATCAGTGACGCTGCGCAACGTCTGACCAAGAGCGCCTGGCTGAGGGGTGTGGTCCGCATGAGATGAAAGGAGCAGGGAACCTCTCACCCCCTCCACCAGCATCACCTACCCCCTCCCCCACCCCAATGCGCACACGCACGCACGCATGCACGCACGCACGCACGCAGCCACTCACCACCCCCCACCCCCACCCACGCGCACTTCCCTCGCCGCCCTGGCTGCTGCAGGCGCGCTGCTGGTGGAGGCGGCCTGCAGTGTGGACCGGGTAGACGAGGCCCTGCGCACCACACTGCCCCTGGTGCCAGGGCTGCACTACTACAGGTGGCCATGCGCGTGTGCATGTGTTTCTCACTTTCGAGGGGAAGAGGGGCCGTTTTTGCGTACGCTGATATTGACTTCGTGGTCCAGGGCAGCGCGATTGTCAATGGAGGGAGGAAGTGTTGCAGCTGACGCCGGCCGGGGATGCTGGCGTTGGCACTGCGCAAGCGGTGCGCAATGCCCACACAACCAAGCAGTGTGTCACGGAAAGTGGGGTTGCGACGCCCAATATCTCTTTCTTTATGCGACCCCATCCCCGCCCTCTCTTGCTGCTTGCTTCATGCCGCGGCTCTTTGCTCGCTGTAACGCCATAGCGCTGGATGCTCCCCTCCTTGCAGCGACCTCGCAAGCATTCCTGCCTTGACGCATTTTCCTACCCTGGCCCCCTCAAGCCCCACTTTCTCACACCAGCGCGTTCCCGCCCCCCACTCCCCTCTCAAAGGTTCTGTCCTGAGGACCCGCGCTGCAGCATGCCCCTGGATGACATATCACCCGACTCGTGGCGCCGCCTGCTGGCGGCGACGACTGAATACTGCGCGCGCCCCGACACGGCCGCCAGGTTCGACGAGCTCGGGCTGCTGCTCTCCGGCGGCAGCGGCGCGCCTGGAGGACCAAGCACGTCACACGCCGCCACATCCGCGCCGGCCCGCCCCGCGCCGTTGGTGCTGCCAGGCGCGGCGGCGGCGGCGGCCCCCGGCTCGCCGCTCGGGGCGGGGGCCGCGGTGCTCGCGGGGCCGCGGCTGGGCACTGCCAGGGGCGTGCTGCTGGTGGAGGCGCCGAGGACCGGTTTTCTTGAGGCGGCCGGCCATGTCGAGGCCGCGGCAGAGGCGGTGGCGCGGCTGCCGCAGCTCCTGCGCCGCTGCAACCTGGAGTCCCTCGCGGCGGCGGCGTCTGCACCGCCATTGATGGTTGGGAGGGGCGCGGCCGCAGGCGTTTCTGCAGATGAGGCCTGGGAGGTGGCGCCGTCGACAGCGGCGGCAGTGGCGGCCGTAGCAGCGGCTGCGCGGTCGCCGCATCCCAACGGTGGTGCGCTGTACACAGCAGACCGCCAGCAGCAGCAGCAGCAGCAGCAGCAGCAGCAGCAGCAGCAGCAGCAGCAGCAGCAGCAGCAGCAGCAGCAACAGCAACAGCCAATGGTCTCGCCGCAGCCACAGCAGATGATCCCCTGGCCGCTGCTGAGTGCAGTTCGCACCACCAACAGCACCAAGGATGGCGCTGGCGCGGCTCCGCCAGCGGACGGCGCCCTGCCTGCTGCGGATGCGGCGTCGGTCCCGCTGCGCTCACCTCGGAACGGGCGACCGCCCTCAGCTCACCAAGCCCCTTCCGCGACCTCGCCTGTAGCATTTCCTGGGGATGTGGGCGTCGCTGTGTCGGGAGGCAGACAGCAGCAACAGCAGCAGCAGCAGCAGCAGCAGCTAGAAGGCGGAAAGGCGGCCTCAATTTCCCCGAGCACTTCGTGGCTGGGGCTGCTATTCTCTACCAGCAGCAGCGGCAGCAGAAAGGAGCAAGCAGCAGGGCTGCCATCAGAGCAGCAGCAGCAGCAGAAGCAGCACCAGCAGCACCACGACCACCACCTGCAAGGCATGACCCCTGACTCCGGGGTCGACGGCCGGCAGTCTGACGGCGGCGGGGTTGACGGGCGGCCGCCGCGGTGGACGCCGCCACCGTCGCCGCGTGAGGCCTCGCCCCAACAGCCGCGCGGCGCCACCAGCAGCAGCGCCTGCGCCGCCTCAGATTGCGACGCGCCGTCCGCGTTTGCGGTGCCCGTTGGCGGCGGCGGCAGCGCCCCGGGGCCCCTGCAGCAGCGGCTGGTCGAGTCCATCGGCGAGGCCCTGCACTCGGCCGCCGGCGCCCTGGGCATCCTGCACCTGTCGCTGCACGCAGCCGCAGGCGGCGCCCTCGTCGGCGGCTGGCGCTCGCGGGTGTTTGCAGTGGCCGAGCCTGGGCCCGAGGCCTCGCGGCTCGCCACGGAGTGGGCGGCCGCCGCCGGCGGCGGTGCCGAGGGCAGCGGGGCCGGCGGCGAGGGGGGCCTTGCGCAGCTGCTGGCGGGGCGCGCCTTTTTGGAGCTCGCCGGCGGCGGTCTGCTGTCTGTCCTGAGCCAGCAGCAGGTGCGGACGCCCCAGGGGCGGCTGGTGACGAGCTGGATGCTGCAGCTGACCGAGCCCCGCCCCGGCGCGCTGCTCGACGCGCCGCTGCTGCTGCCGCTGGCCGCGGCCATGCCGCGCGTGGCGGTGGTCTCCGCGGGCGCGCTGCCGCCGGCGCTGGTGCGCCTCTTGCTGCGCGCGGGCGCGCGCGCGGTCGTCGCGGCGGCGGGGCCCGCGTCGCAGTCAGGAGGACCCGCCACTCCCTGGAGTCGGGAGGAGGTGGAGGGCTTCTTTTCAGAGCTGTACAGTCAGCTGCTCGTGGCCGGCGCAACCGTGCCCAAGGCGCTCGCCGCCGCAGAGGCGGCGCAGCCTGCCCTGGAGGGTGCTTACACGTGCTACCACCTTTGATGGTCCACGGGGCGGCCGGCGTTCACCCGGCAGGGCCTCACTGAGAGTAGGGCTTCCGTGAGCTGCGTCTTACTGTCACGGTCAGGCACCATGTTTGATTGCTGGTTAGATGCGTGAGAGGGCTGTTGTGGACTTCCCTCTCGCCAGGAGGGGTCATGCTGGGCTTTGTTTGTCCGATAGAGGTGGAACAGATTTGAGCGTTGCTCCAGATTGCAGGACTAAAGTACCGGCCCACCCTTCCATTGATGCTGGCAATCAAGCAGCTGATCTGTAATAATACGTTCCGATTCGCTGTTTGCTGTGAGGCATTGCCAACGTGGAGGCTGGCCACAGGCCGTGGGGGCCAGCAGGAATGGGGAATGTGCCACGCTGCGTGCAAAGCCGCAAATTTGCATGCTGCTGGCAGGGCGGGGGCAGTCGGCCCCTACATCACTGGGAGCGTAGAAGTTGGCTTTTCTGCAATCTGCAAGTGGCAGGCGCAACAGTTGATGTCAGAGGCCGTTGTGATGTACGGGTGGCACATGCAGGGCGCCATGCTAGACGACTAGAATTACGGGATGGCACTGGAGCAGCGACACACACACGATGACATCACATTTCCAAGGCGTGTCTGGCAGCAAGCCGCTTGCTGTCATTAATAATCCCGTACGTTATCAATGTGGAAGTTGCGGTCACCGTGGCCAGACGTTCATACCGTATAGCCTGCCGCGCACTGGTCCAGTCTGACATTCCGCGAGATGGACGAGAGCAAGCACCACGCGGCCCAGCACGAGACAATACCCAAACAAGATCAGATCCAGGCCGCTGGTGATCATCAAGGCCACCGCGACCAGCCCTCGCCTGAAGCGCCGCCGCAGCGGGCCCTGCGCAAGCGCAAGGGCGGCGGCAAGGAGGCCGATGACGGGGCCGAACAGGGCGAGGCCGCGGCAGAAAAACAGAATGTCGACAGCTCCGAGGCGCACGGCACTGGAGGGGGCGGCGAGGGCGCCGCCGCCGCGGCGGGGGCTGATACGGCAGCTGGAGAGAAGCGGGCGATTCCAGACGCAGTGATTGAGGAGGGGCGTCTCTACATGTTTTACAGGTGTGGTATGACATGCATATGTGCTTGGTCTTGTGTTTTGAATAGTTTGACAAGTGCTTTTTCCAGTGCTGAAAAGTATACGTCTTTTGCGCTGTGTGCCCCCCAACTCGATGTTGACTTATTATCACAGCGTCACTGCGGGCTCGCAAGCATCAAGGCAACCTGGGCAGGCCCCTGCTACCACAGCAGCACACATGACGGCCTTTTGTACAGCCACGCCTGTCTACTGTGCTGGCAATGTACAGTCCCTCCCACACCTTGAACCTGAAAACCTTGGCCTCCAACCTCCCTGCTTTATACACATCAAAGACCGAAGGTGCAGGTGGAGGATGTAAAAGGGATGGGCGATGTGCAGGTGGGCGGTGACTGGTGCGAGGGCGTGCACCGAGCCGGCAGTATTGGGTTTACAGCCGTATCCTACAGCTTCCTTCCGGCAGACCTAGGGCTGCACCGCCTGCAATTTTGTTACTTTTTGTGAGCTGGCATTTTCTACAATCCTGTTTAGAATCATGCCGCAGGTGTGTAAGCCGTTTTGGCAGATCTAGACAGGATTTACTCAGCTGTTGGCCAACTGACCACCGCCGCCGCTGGCGAGTCGCGCTGACCCTCAACACCATACGCCTGTCCTCACTCACCTGGCCCCGCACGCTCTCGCTCATCCGCTACCGCAACCGTCCCAACCGCCGCCATGCGCTTGCTCTGGCCTAGCGCTTCTACATGGTGATGGACCCCCTCTCGCCCGCCGGCCACAAGGCGCGCCTCATAGTGGTCCCAAAGAAGCGCCTGCCCTCCCAGAGCGACAGGGACAAGGGCCACGAGCGCTTCTACGGCTTCGTCGAGGCCACCGCGCCCCGCGAGGCCGGCGGGGAGGAGGGGCGCGGCGGGCAGGGCGGCGAGGAAGAGGGGCAGGGGGAGGGGCAGGGGGAGGGGGGCCTTTTGGGCGCCAAGGCTCTGGTGGCGCGGCTGGGGGGCAAGGAGTACGAGACCAAAACGCAGGGCACGCGCCACCAAGGGGCGGCGAGGGTGCTGGCAGAGGCGGCCTACGTGATCGGCAAGGGTGGCCAGCGGTGAGCGATTGGCGGGCGGCCAAGGTAGGGGTTATAACGGTGACGTGCTTGGAGCAGCAGCCGGCGTGATTGACAAGAACATGTTATTATGTACTCCAAAGGGCTTCGCATTGATAGCGTTCATCACCCAACAATCCAGCACACCTTCCAGCGCCCTCCGCTCCACACCGTCCACACGCACTTGCGGTTGCTGCGTGCTGCCCCTCCGCGCGCCACTACCTATGCATGACGCTACTCCCTTCTGCCCAGCGGCTCCACCCACCTGGCCTATAAGCTGGAGGTCCCGAACGAGCCAGGCCCGGCGCAGCAACTGTTTCGCGTGGAGCGTGAGGGCGAGCTGCTCGTGTCAATCAAGGTCACAAGGGGGCGCAAGCGCGCCTCCCTTGCGGATGCTATGCAGGCGGCCGAGGCATGGGAGTGTGCGTGTATGCTTGCTTCTGAGGTGTCCCAGGCAAGCTGTGCACCTGATTGGGGGGTGTATTATGGATTATACACACATAACATGCTTTCCAGCTGCTTGTTGCTTGCTGCTGCGCAACCCTGCTGCGGATCAGAACCCGGAGAATCGGCCGCCGGGAGCTCCGACGGCAGGTCCTGCACCCGCCAAGTATGACGAGCAGCAGTCCAAAAGGTGGGCCTTGCCACAGTGTGCTATACCGCTAAGGGAGGTTTGGTTGCTGGAATGGCCCTTGTACAAGGGCGGGGCGACTGTACTCAAAGCACAGCAATAATGCAGCGGCTCATCTGCTGCATGACGGGTGCAGAACGCAGGCACGCAGAAAAATAATTGAAAGTCTACGATACCACGATTATTGCAGACAACGTGAACATGCCCCAATTTACCTGACGAAGCCACCCACCTCTGCAGGCTCAAGGGCTACGCATGGGTGGGCGTAGAGGACAGCAGCATGCTGGACGTCAACGGGGCAGAGCTGCTGCTCATCGGCGCAGCGCGCAACGACCCAATTGGTGCGCGAGCGCATTGTATTGCAACCATTGCAAATGCATGACATCAGCATTGACTTTTGCTCTACAAGCAAACAGGTGACCAAGGTTGTATAGTGAGATACTTGTCGTCATATGCTCGTGCCTGCAAGCAAGAGTCAGCACAAGGACTGTTGCATGTCGTGCGGTCGCCCCACTTCTGGAGCGATCTGTGCTCATTTGAATCGAGCGTTGGTTGCATGCTGTATCATCTGGTGGCTTGGGCTGCAGGCTTGGGCTCCTTTCCTCCCCTCTTGCCATGCAAGCATCCTATACATGCCAAGAGCTGCACTTGCTTTGCAACCATCGCCGTTCTGCATGCTCTTGCAGGCCACCTGGGGGAGGCAGGGGCGGAGCTGATGGAGGTGTATTACAGCGACACGGCGGAGGAGTCTGTGGTGAGCACGAGTGTATCAAACAATGCATGATGCTGTTTCTGTTGATCATAGTGTGGGGTAGGGATGGAGTGAGTGTGGTGAAAGCAATTGAGGCCGCGCTCAAGGGGAAAGAAGGATGGAGTGAGTGTGGTGAAAACAATTGAGGCCGCGCTCAAGGGGAAAGAAGGATGCCTACTGTATAAATATTGGCAAATGGCTGACTTCACAGGTTGCATTGGCTGGCCGACCCCTCCCCTTGCGTTTGATTAGCTGCCTGTTGTCCTCATGTTGACAAGCTTTTGTATTGAGCAAGGGTTGGTGATTGGTGTTTCTGCATGCTGTTGTATGAATTGAGGGTTTGTATTTTGCAAATTCCTTATCAGATCAAAACACACAGAAGCGGGCGGTTAGAGTGCAACGGCTATACACGCATGCATGCACTGATGCGCTGCATGCATCCAACATTACGTGATGAGGGCATTTAAGCCAAGATACACCTACCCTGTGGATCACTTACAACATTTTTCGCCTCGCTATTGTGCTCAATCTGTATTGCAGGACGTGGACAAGGTGCGCTCTGAGATTGAGCCTGGGGCGGCACAGAAGGCAGATGCGCTGCCTGTTGAGCCTGCTGCAACGGGCCAACTGGTGTGACAGTTGCAATTCCCCAATATTAAAAGTGGCGGTTGGATGACGTGGGTGATTTGCGGCGTATTTTCTCAAGTAAAATTGCATGTCAGATCTTATTACAGGTCCAGGGAACTGCCCGTCACAAAGTTCAAGGCAAAGGCAAATGAATGTGCCGCAGGCAGGACTGCCGCAGTGCAAAATACCCGAGAGAACCGCCATCGTCTGAGCCGCGGCGCCGGGGCCGTTTGGGCGTCTCAGCAAAAAGATCGTGCACTACGTTGCTTCTGTCACAACAAGCAAGCAGGCCCGGCGGGCGTGCCGGCCTGGCAGGTTGTTTCTTGTCCTGCATGGATTGTGAGCTCACTCCCCCTCGGCCCGGGCCGCTTTCGAGGTGGGGGGACAGGGCTGGCCAGGCGTCAGCCTTCGGGTCGAGCGGTTTTCCCAGGTTTCTCCGCAGCCGCAGCCTTGCTCACGGTCCCGGAATGATCACTACTCGCTCTCAGGTGGCATTGCGCAGTGTTTTGCGCCCGGTGTACGGCCCCCCGCCCGGCGTGGGTAGGGTTTCCTCGTAAGTCCTTGAGGGGCTAGGGGCCTCGCTCCGGCTGCCAGCTTGTGGTCCCACCACGCGCTGGCGGCAACGCCGCGTCTGGGGCGGACTCGGGCGGCCGCAACTGGGCAGGTGTCGTCAATCTTTCGTATAACTTCACATGTAAAAAAACTGAGAGCGAGCAGCGACCACGGTGATTGCAGGGACGCGAGCACGGCAGCGGTGACACTATCTCCGCCCCGACAGCAGGCCGAGTCAAGGAGGGCGATGCTGCACGACACGATTAAAATTCTTGCGCGCGCTTGCACTGCTCTTTCATTGCCCACCCTTTTGCTCCTCGTTTCTCAGCCATCCGCCTGTCGCCGCTCGTGCGGGCGCGGCGACGCGCTTGCGGCGCGCGGTGCAGCTTGTGTGCCGAGCTACCTGATGCC